AGGCTCAGGAAACACACGAGCAAAGGCGCTGTGACTGCACACAGTGCCGAATTTCTCTGCAGAAGCTGCTGCAAAGCTGCTCTCTACGCCAATCACAAACGTATCACGGAATTCCGCAGAGGGGACCTCGTCGCTAGAGCTGGCAGGCGATAGAGTCAGATCAAAGGCAGCTGGAGCTGCTGCTGCTCGCAAAAAACCTGCTGTTGCGACTGTTGTTGCATGCTTTCCAACAGTAACTGCTGCTGCTGCTGCTGCCAGAACACTGCGCTACTGCTACTGCTACCTCCAGGTGAAGCCCCCTCAAAGTCTGGCACCATGAGCGCGGTTGGGGTAGCAGCTGCTGTGTTGCTCCCCAGCACTGCATCCGTCAGTGAGCTGCTGGTCAAGGGGCTGAGCGACGAGTAACGAGCCGCGACTGCTGCTGCATCCTGCCCCCTCTGCTGCGTGTCCAACTGGCGGCTTTGTTGCTGCTGGCCCTGCTGAGAGCTCCGAAAAGAAGCGGGCTGGAACTGGGGAGGGAGCACATCATAGAGTCCGCAAATCTGCAAACCACACGCGCCTGCTTAAGACACGCCACTGAAAAACGAGCAACGAATTCACTCCTGACGAACCTCTCGCATAGTGCATGCCCTCTGTATCTACCCTGGAATGTACAGCCGCAACGGCGCATACTCACCTGCGCAAGCTGAAACAGCTGCTTTGTCGTGGCACAGCGGACTCCTGCAACCGACGAAGCCTTTTTCCGCAGATGTGGGAAGACACGGAGCTGCCTAAACACCACATTAGACCCCACGAGGCATCAACGCTGTTGTCTAGCCATTATTTGCCATGGTGTTACTTCATCTCGTGACTATGACAAGCTCGTATTTCAGCTGCCGTAACAGCATTTGAGAGCCACTAACTTCCTTGAGTTGAAGAGAAAACAAGAGCATACATACCTTGATATTCTGCTTTTAATAATAGCCCTCCCCTTGTCACCCAACTTGAACATGCCTTGGGCTCTGAACTGCTGCCACTGCGCCTCAGTCAGATTCAGCAACGACAGGCAGTCCGTGCTGTCTTCAAACTGCGGAACGCACACAGGTATTTCCACGTTGCACACGAAGGGCCCCCCCTTCACCAGAGGTGCTGCTGCTGCCGCTACTTTGGGGGAAGGAGCGGTAGACGGAGCTGATGAGTCCCTGTTGCAATCCTGCGAACCGCCGCTTGCCCCTGTATCAGCGGCACCCCCAGATTCTTGAGAAACGTGAGAAAGCTGACGTGTGAGGGTCCCTTCCACTATCGTATGGAGCCCCGCATGCTGCTGCTGTTGCGGTTCTAGTCCGAGAGAGCTGCAGCAGCAGCAGCTAGCTGCACTTCCACACGAGCCACAGTTTGCTGCTGTGGAGTCTCCGTGCTGCAGTTGCTGTTGTGTTCCCGTGGCTGCTGTAGAAGGCGAGCATGAAATGTTGTAGAATGAGGCAGGAGAGAGCTGTTGTTGTTGTTCCTCCGCAGACAGCAGCAGGGCTTGGCACCCCTGGCCGTCACATGGCCACTGGTCCTGCTGACCCACTACCCATTCATCACAGCTAGAGTCTGCAAGAGTGCTACCTGTAAGTCTTTTTCTCTTTTGCACAGGAAGCAGGAACGACTCCTCCTGCTGTTGCTGCTCTTGCGGGCCGTAGCATGGCTGCCCTGTTGATACATCGGACTCAGTTGCGAAGAAATTGCCACTTTGTTGTTGCTGTGTACAAACACACTGCTGGTTGCCACAACAGCAGCGGCCTGCAGAATAAGGCTGCTTCTCTTGCTCTTGCTGATCCTGCTCTAGCCTTGGCACTTCAAGGGGATCTGACGCGCGCCGTCGCCGGACGCGCTGCCTCGTGGCCGCGGCAGGAGACTGTTGCATCTGCTGCATCCCCGCTCCTGTTTTCTGGCATTCTGTCTCTTGAGACGATGCTTCCTGCGTCTCAACTAGCTTAACCTGCTGCTGCTGCCGCTCTGACTCCTTGGGAACAGGATGAGGTCGCTGGTCAGGATGCGTGTGCTGCAATGGTGAGGCGCAGCCACTTGCACAGTACGATACTGGAGAGGGCGAAAGCTGCTCAAGAGTGCTTGGCTCTATTTGTTGCTGCTGCTGCTGCTGCTGCTGCTGGTTGGTGTCACGGGAAGGTGTCTTTGCTGCTTCAGGAGCTTGGTCCTCATGCAACAGAAGGTCTTTCTCCAGAGGCAGCAGCTCTTCCATCTTTCCTTCCCTATTTTGCCGTGCCACATCAAAGTCGAGCGCGCAACAGCAGGTACTGGTGCTACTGCGGCTGGTGTAAGCCTCGCTGCAGCGCCGCTGGCAGCATTCCACCCTTGCTGATTCCGTTGAAACTGCCTCATTCCTACAAGGTGGCAGAGGCCCCAACGGCCTCTCACCAGCATTCAGTGGGCTTGGCGCGCTGGTCAAAAGCGTGGCGTCGCATATAAGGTTACTCGGCAGTTGTAGGAGAAGAGCACCCACTCCCAACGCTGCCGCCCGTCGCTCGTGCTCAGGAGGTCCTCCAGTGTCTGGGCACCTGCTTGGGGCACCCCAGTATTCCCGGTGACCCCAACTCTCCTCTTCAGGGCCCCAGAGCTGACTCACATCTCCATCGTCTGCATCCAGAGGACTCGGTGCCTCCTGCAAAGCCAAGCAGGAATCGCAGGCGCCGCCAAAGTCACAGCTGAAGTCATCTGCTACGGACACCGGTAGAGGCCCCCACACCTCGCAGCTGTTGCTGCTGCTGCTATTCGCAGTGCCGCAACTGCCGTAGTAGAAGCAGCAACAGCAGCATGTTGACGGAGCCTCTGCCTCTGCGGCACCAGAACGATGCACCTCTGACGGTGACGTGTGCGTCGCCGCCGTCGCTGTTGCTGCTGCTGCTCTCTCTAGCTCGTCCGACTTTGGGGGAGCCATGTGCTGAAATACGACGGCAGCATTTGGCGGGGAGGCAAGAAAGGCGGGCGAGGAGTCACAGCGCAGCCGCAGCAACTGCGCATAGGCGATGCATCTGCTGCAAGCCCACTCCCCTGCTGCAGCGGCTAAGCAGCAAGACTGCTGAAGCAGCGTCTCTGTCGTCGGGTCATCGCAGCAATTGCCGCAGTTGCTGCTGCTGCAGCCACAGCAGCTACCACCTTGGCAGTGGTCGGTGTAGCCTGCAGGGAGGTGAGGGGGAGACAAGAAAAGCTGCTGCAACATTGTCCCAAGGGTCACGTACACCCAAGACTACTGCTGCAGTAGGAGCACCAGAAATAGCAGTACGAAATCGGCCGGCTCTATATCACCTGGCACGACAGATGTGGCGGCTCCTGATTTTCGCTGCTGCTGTTGTCGGTGCTGCTGCTGCTGCGGGGACTGGACGGGCCGCGTGGCTGCAGGGCCGCCAGAGAGCCGCCAGCAGCAGCAGCTGCGTCTCTAGCCTGTCATGAAACGAAACTTAACTGTGGAAGCCAGCAAACAGCCGCTGCAGCGGCAAGGCCGTGGGCTACGCTGCGGGGTAAGTATTCAGTGTGGTAATACCGGTGGAGAGCAGCCGAAAAACACACGGCCCGCTCGAATATGCTCCGACGTAATTAGTATAATGCCCTCGGCAAAAGGCTTTGATGTGATGCTGCTGCCTTTGCTACTGCTCCCGGCAACCCCTGCTTGCCTCCCAACGTGCCCCTGTCGGCTGCGGCGTCCCTTCAACGACAGCAGCAGCACACACGGTAATTGTGAGCCCTAGCCTCTAAATCATGAAAACGTAGACAAGTCCAATCCTCCAAGGGATCCCTGCAAGACAAGGTGTGTAGAGGAAGACACGAATGGAGGCTAGCGCAACAGTTGCTGCTGCAGCACGACGCCGAGTCGAGCACCAGCAGCAGTTGCAACCGTTCTTACTGGGGGGCGCAAAGCCACAGACACGGGCGAAATAAAGACAATTTGACCCCTAAAACCATTGGGAGCTATCGGTTCTAGCACCTGATGGGAAGGGAATGGGACTACTGATACTTGTGCCCCCAGCAGCAAACGCAGCAACGGCGCAGAAACTCTGCTGCTGCAGTAGTTGAGGAGCAGGGAGCACCAAGAGAGCAGGCTGACGCCTGTCTTAAGGTTTATACGAAGGTGAAAACGTAACAGAAATGCTGGTGTGCTGCTGCACGCTCCCCAGCTGCAGCTGCTGCGCCTTCAGCTACCCCGCCCGCTGCGTGGCTGTGGTGGCAGCAGCAGCGAACCTGCAGCAGCCGCTGCAGCCGAGAGCGGCACATAAAGCCCCTACTTCTCTATTGTTTAAATCCCCTTGACTCATTTAAGTGATTATGAAACCAGTAAGCGTAAGAAACCGCAGGAAATAACAGAGACAGCGCACTGCTTACGGTGCGCGCATTACAGTGAGACTGAGGGACCCGCTGCCGATACGCGCTGTGGGGTCATTCCCTCTTGGAGTAATAAATAGAGATTTAGCAGTTCACAAGCAGTTTAATGGCATAAGTATCAGCTCATAAATGACAAATACTTCACTCAACACCCTAGACTTGCACCCAGGTGCACGCTTTGCGCCCACCAAGGGCCCCTCAGCATACGAGGGCCCCTGCTCCCGTACCCTACATGCCTCTGTAAGGGCCCCTGGGTTGGAGGAAGTGCTGCTACGTCTCCATTACGTATACGATATACTCTAATAGATGATTCAGCCATAGGGAGACTCATTCTCGTCGCAACACTACGGGGAGAGCATCAGTATACTCCAGAGTTTGCAGGTCGCCAGCAAGGCCCGAAGCCCGTGCAGCTCTGTCAAGCCAAGCACAAGCCTTTCTCATCCCCGCACCTTTACAGTTCTTTATTGATTTAAAAAAAGCGAGCTGACCATGCAGCGGCTGATACGGGTGCAGAAGGCTACCGCGGCGACCGCAAAAACTGCAGCAGCTACAGGGAGGCGCCTCTCCAGAAACCAACACGGAGAGATCCCCAACTTTTCCTGTGCGGGCAGAGCTCTGTAGGGATCTGTGACTTTGCCAAAATGGCTCCAGGAGCGCAGCAGGAGCAATTGCTGCACCAGAAGTTCTCGTCAGGAGCAAGCGCAGCGCGGAGGATGCCGGACTCCTTTGAGTTGCTTGTAAGTGCTGCCGTCAGTGGCCTTGTAACTAAGACAGCTTGCGCCCCAATGGATCGCCTGAGGCTTCTTTACCAAGTCCAGGGCATGCTGCGGCACAGCCAGGAACACCAGCGAAGAGCCCCGTCTCCAACAGCAAAAGAGGGGGCCTCTGTATTCCAGGCTTCTAGGGCCAGAGACATAAATAAATACGGAGGCATCGTTGATGCTCTCAGAGTTGTAGTTAAAGAGGAAGGCATAAGGGGCCTCTGGAAGGGAAACGGAGTAAATGCAATGCGAGCTGCTGCTTGTTACGCCATCAAATTTCCGGCGAACGATCTAGCTAAGCGAGCCCTCGGAGACAGAAGCAACAAGCACGGAAGCAGCAGCGCAGTCAGCCGCAGCAGCGACGGCAGCAGCCTGATCTCTCTGCTTCTAGCTGGGGCTATTGCTGGGTCACTGCAGAAGACCCTGTCATACCCTTTGGATCTCCTGTCCGTTAGAATAGCTGTTGGCGTGAATGCCTCAGCCTTGGGCCGCGCAGGGTCTTCACACGCTGCAGCGTCTTGCGGCAGCAGCAGCATTAGTAAAACTGGCTGTGGCAATGAGGGTTATAGGGGGGTGCTGGATTGTGCAAAACGGGTGTGGCTACTGGAGGGTCCTAGAGGTTTTTTTAAAGGCTACTCAGTCACCCTTTGGTCTGGCGTGCCATACGTCATGCTACAGATGACATTTTTTGATTTGTCAAGGAGGTAAGGGTACATTTAAAAGTGAAGAGGCCTTCCAAGAGTACTGTGCTACAGATATTCCCTTTCAGAGACCAGTGATTTGATAGATACACCTGTTAATGTACAGCTAAGGCTAAAGTGACGCTGAGCAACCACAGCATAAGCAAATGCTGACGCTAAGGCTCGTAAGATTTTCTCTGTAATTTTAAGCACAGCTGCATGCATATGTACTCCCTTATCATTGGGCAAAGAGCAGGAGCTTCGAGCAGGCGTTTATGTGTGTGAATCTGTCACAATCGTTAATGAGTAGCAGCAGCCGACAGACAGTGTGGGTCCCGCAGAGCGATTGACAGCACTGCCGTCTTCTCCAGAAGCTCGAGCTTAAAAACTTATTTTGTCTGAATGACCTTGTATGCTTCAGAATTTTGGGAGATGCCGCCCAAAGAAGACAAGCGGGAGGCTCGTGGCCCCTTGTGCTGCTCACGGCAGGTGTCTCAGGTATGCTCCTTGCCGTCAGCATCAGGTCGCATCATCAGTAGCATTAATTTTTACTGGAATTGTACAGTTGCATGAATTGTGAAGTTGTTCCAAGAGCTTTGCACATGGCGGCGCGTAGACCTGTGCGCTTCTACATACCCTTTTGCCTGGACATTGGTGAGGCAGTCTTTGGTTTTGTACGAATATCTGACGTATTCAAATATTTGCATCTATGCCACTGGAAGCGGAAGAGCATTTCCTTAGTTTACGTGGTGGCGCTTTAGCAGCAGTAGCTGCTCTTGGAGCTACTATGTTTGTTGCAGGCAGCGCAGCCAACATGGCGGCACAAGCAATTGTGTTTCCGTTTGACACCATCCGCAAGCGCCTCATGAATGACGGCATAGACGGCCGCCCTAAGCTGTACAGGTACTCAAGAACGCCCTTGCGCGTATCGCTCTTACACAGAGAACCGGCTGTGTATCTGTTGTACATCGGTGTACGTTGATATGTGCCAGCTAATGAGCGTGGCAGCCTTCTATCACTTTGTTTCGGAGAAAAGGCTGCTTCGGGCAAGAAACAAATAAACATGAATTGCCAAAGCTTGTATTTGCTGTAAAAGTGCAGTCAGCGCACGCGTATGTGCTGCCATGTATCCTATGCCCTTGTGGCTCCAAGATGCCGGCACACTTTGCGCAGCTCAACTCTTCGCGCTTCGTTGTTTTAAGGCCATAGTTTGTGTGCCTGACGGCGTGCACTGACCAGTCTGTTGTCAGCTCCATCTGTACCTGTAAAAGGGTCTTTGCGTGTGTCCTGCCCGCTGTGATTTTGTTATTGTTGCAATTTGCTTACTTCAGTTCCACGCTGAGGTGCTTCAATGCCATCCGCCATACTGAAGGCTTCCGCGCTTTCTACTACGGCATATGGCCGGCGACTTTGCGTAGCATACCGGCTGGAGCGATTCAGTTCGCTAGCTACGAGTTAATGAAGGAGCTGTTTCTCACGAGAGCACCAGGGGCAACACCCGAAGCAGCCTAATCCACTAAGCGCAGCATCGGCCATTGAAGTCGTACATTTTGGAGAGGAGTTGGCTTGTGTCAGTCTGCGCATGATCATGCTTACCTCTGCACAGGTGCGGGAAGCTCAAGGCAAAGATGATTGTTTACGGGAGTTTCTAAATTGTTTGAGCGCCTGCCTTTAATCATTTGGAGTGGCTCTTTGCAGTCCCACTGCATGTGGGTCTCACGGCAGATGAACTGGTCGTCCACTGCGACTTCTCTGGTCACTGCCTTATTTTATCCGTCTTTAGAGTTTTCTTTTGTATTCATTTCTCTCAAGCGTTTGAAATCTCCAGAAAAAGTCTCTATTTACTGTCAGCCACAAAGTACGCAGCTAGATAGCGTTTGCGGGACACATTAGAAACATAAGGAGGCAATCAGACCACCCAATTTGGAATGGCTTATTTGTTCGTCAGGTCTGTCGATAAATATCCCCAGCTTTGTTGCGTGCGAACAAAATTAGGGGTTCCGGATTGGGATAATTTGTGTGCTGTTGACAAGCCGCGGCCTTTACTTACTTTATGCACTATTAATTCGTGATGAGGATAGTCAGCATTCTTTAACTGCTTAGGAGCAATGCTGGGCAGCTGGGTGCAGTACAAGTGGGGGGAGTTCGGGATGATATCTGGACAGCGCCACAGCACAAGCGTATAGACACCACTGCACACTAACATCAATCGGCACCTGGGGAGAACGTGCCTGAATTGTGGCGTATGAACCGCAATAACGCAACGGCCATGCAAGAACCAGGAGAGCCCTCGCCGTTGATGCGTACATGAATTTCACGCAAGGGAAACCTCGCAAACCACCAAGTAAAACAACGGACAGTTTGGCTCAAGGGATCGCTGAGGCTGCATAGCGGATAGGACCACAGGAGTTGATCTCCCGCCTTCGTTCTGCCACCGGCACCTTCAGCGCCGGTGGCAGAACTGTTAATAAGCTACATCTTGTTCCAAAACTTACCGCCGGGTTGGAATTCCCACGGGAAATGCCGGAAGAGAGCGTCAGGAATGGTCGGTTCCAGTGCACCACAACTTGCGGACAAAAGCATGGGAGCACCATGCGGACTTTCCTAGGCTCTATACAGATCTGTATCGCAGATTTGAAGATAAAACGCAGGCGACGGGACCAGAATCTATTTGGGGAACCAGTAGGTCCTGCCTTACTGCTCCGGATGTATCACAAGAACAGTTTCAAATTAGTAGAGAACCGATCCCATAGAGGGCCGTGCCATATGCTGTACTTAAATGTTGGAAGCGTAGGCTTGAATTGAAGACAAAGACGAACACGGAGAGCATACTGCACAGATTATAGCCACAGTAGAAAGAGTTGTAGTTCTAGAAAGAAATACTATACTTTCCTCTCCTGTGCCAAACTTGCGACCGGGCTAGGCATTTTAATCATGAATAGCGAAATGGAAGAACCATCAACCATCATAGCGGGAGGAGGCAGCGGAAGCGTTGGCTCACATCCACTGGACCCGTTTGGCAACCACAGAGTACAGGGGCAAGGGCTTATGGGAGAGCATGGGAGAGCGAGTATGTTGTGTACATTCTGGGCGAAAGGGGAAAGAGACACGGGCAACGGGTTATAGCTAAATACAGTGTAAGCAAATGACTTACTGACGAGACAGGCGCCAGTTATGAGAGTGAAGCATACAGCAGAAGCGCAAATTGCGCCTCCGGCCGTGTCTGACGCATTCCGTGAGCTCTAGCCTGTTTACCCTACAATATCTGCCTGATTGCATCCAGAATTGCCCCTGCAGCATCGCATGCTGCTTCTTTCTGGCATGCTTTCAGCAAAGCCCCCTACCTACCAGATGGGGCCTGCTAAGCTCAATGCTTATGACTATTGCCTATGAAATGCGCTAAGGCGATAATAAGTACGCACTCCCCTTACTGTGCCCTCAAGATTACAGTTGAGACGTATGCTGATAGTTCAAAAGAGTCGAATTTGCGCATTGTGACTAACCATCAAGAGTTAAGCTCCTCTCCAGCTGCCTGTAAACTATCCATGTCCCTTATTCCGGCGATATCAAGAATGCTTAAGAGTGCGTAGTTCTTTTCCAGAAGCATGCATTTACCCATTTCGTTTGGACATGACGGTCCACTGGAAGAGCGCATTAAGCTTAGTAAGGGGGTTATTTCGCTGTGGGATAATGCCTTTCTGCCTCATGGAAACGTTCGCCGCTCTTCAACGCAATACTAACACGTAAGCCCAACAGATACTAGCTCAAAGCACGTGCCTAAATGACGCCCTTATACACAGTGGCGACAGTGCTAGGCACACTAACCTTGTGTGACAAGTTCGCACCATCATCGTGAAGCACATTACTAAGCTTAATGCGCTCTTCCAGTGGACCGTCATGTCCAAACGAAATGGGTAAATGCATGCTTCTGGAAAAGAACAACGCACTCTTAAGCATTCTTGATAACGCCGGAATAAGGGACATGAATAGTTGATAGGCAGTTGGAGAGAAGCTTAACTCTTGATGGTTCAAGTTTTCGGACGGGTATTTACCTACCTCATACACAAAGCCAGCGCAGTGGGTATAAAGCCAGTCGCTGACACAGTTAAAGTCATTTGTCTATGGCTCAGCGCGTGAAACAACGAGACCCGTGTATGTCATTTCCTTGCTACGGCCAACTATTGCTGCATGTTTATGGAACCGAAATTCGCCGATGCTTTTCAGCCTGTCGTCCGCCTCATTTGGAAAGGTGTGCCTTTTTTAGTTCCCAAAGGCTCATATTAATGCACTACGTAGCCTAAAGCAGTGCCTAACTGGGAGCGGAACCGTATAGCTTGCATACATAGTGACGCCTTTTTGTGAGTTGACGGGTTCAGCTATGAATTGGACGCCGCCCTTGAGCATGAACAAATATTGCTTGGCTTCTTTAGTCGTGCTGTGAACCCCACTCAGCAGACACGAGCGATATACGGCCAAGAGTTTCTCGGCTTATTGTGCTCCACTCAGTTTACAGAATATGCAGATCATCAGGCTCCCTCTCAGAGTGGCTGAACACGTCCAAAGTACGACGGCGGCGTACGGCTTGATGGCTTCATTATCATAGAAACACTCCAGGACCTTTAGAAAACTCGCATGCAGGATGCACAGTATAAGGTATTCTATGCATTGCCAAGGCATCTTTAATAAGTAGCCCCTGCTGAGCCCGGCGAACTGCCTCGTATAGCACGCATTTCCCAAGGAATCACGGGCGCCGACCCCTGAATGTCCTTAATAGGGTTACATTAGCCAGAAACTTCAGCCATAGTATAAAATGGTGGCATTCATCGGTGCGCGTGTGCAGCGGCGACCACTCCTAACGGAGATGCTCCCTTGGACAACGATCAACTAGGCGGCACTTCTCATCCAACGCCTCCTCCCTTGAATTGAGTCCATTGGCACGCGATTTGAATCACACAATCATGGCATTTTAGAGGAGTGCGCCTGGCTTCAATTATCCCATCCCTCCTCAAGCCTACGTCTCTCCCTATCCCGATTGCGCAGTATATGCGTGTCGTACACCAAGCCGAATGGAGTCCTGTAACCTCAAATTTTCTTTATTTTTCCAGTTTCAGTATCTGCTTGTCTGTTTCCATGGCATATGTCACATTTTCATGCCGGCTTCTCACGCATGTGCATTATATGCATCAGGGCCAGTCGGCTGATGGCCTGATGGCCACAGGGGACGAGATGGGACTTTAGTTTGTCTGAGTAAATATTACTATTGGCATGGTATGATGGCTAATATTAGGAGATATCTTGAGCCATGCGTGCGGTGTTGAAACCCTAAGGCACTCTTGTTCAATAATTCTGCGTTCCTCGACCCTCTAAACACTCAGTCGTTGCAGTCGTCAGCCTGTATTTTACCACCTCTACCGCTATTGGTCAGGATATTGCACTGATGCTTGTGAAGTCTCTTCAGGGGTGTTTTTCCATGTTTCATTGTACCTCGCTAGGAGAGAGGAGCAGCTCCGATTCACGCATGTTCTCGTGGATGTACGTGCAGAGCACCTGCCCCAGATTAGGATTAACACGTTCGGTCTCTCCTTCGGTCTAGAAATAACAGGCAGAACACAAAAATGCATTGTCATGAAGCAGCTGCCAGGATGGAACCGAAGACCTCACAAATGAATGCATTAGGGAACCTTCGATACAGAATACGGCTGTCAGCCAGATGCCTGACGGTGTTTGCTGCTTTAGTACTTTTCTTCTCGAAATTGAACTAAGCCAGCTTTTTCCCCACCTCAAAAAGTAATGACTGGCCGGAACACCTGTATAGCAGACGATCTTGGCTGCTGTTGCGGTCCCTGATCTTACAACCTGTAGAAAGTTCGGTACTATAATGTAGGCTGACACAACATCAAAGTCGTAAGGGAGTGACACGTCCTAGTTTGCAAAAACCATGGGCAACACTCATGGAGAAAAGACATTGATTACGCGGTAAGGGACACAGGAGGGCTCAGCAAGGAGATGCTGCAAGCCATTCATGAAGGCAATTCTTGAATGGCTTGCAACATCTCCTGGCACGTTTACAGCGGTTTGCCTACGCTCAGCTAGAGCATTAGCAAAGCCACCCACCGTTTGGCGTTACTTGCTACATACATTTGCCATGGTGCCTTGCGCGTGATCCAGACCATTCTGCATCGCCACCCCTATCCTTTCTTGCTCGCCAGCAATGCCGCTGTATGTTTTCTCGCTGTACCTTCCTATCGTCGAGCAATAGCTACCCTAGGTGTGATGCAATTATTGCTACTACCTTCATCCAGTGGCATCTAGCAAGCCACTAAAGAAGGAAGAGAGGCAAAGGTGGCTAGAGGCAACGATCTCAAGCGACAGAGGCTTAGCGAACTACAAATATGCTAGTCAACGCTTCATAATAAATTGGCAAGGCCTTTGTAGGCCATGCAGGGACAATTCCACCATGGCCAAAGGCAGGGTAGCTCACGGGACGAGGCTTTAGGGCTTGTTGAGCTTGTGCACCGAGTGTACTGGCCTCGACGTTGCAAGATGCAATCGGCATTGTAACAGTCGCTACATTTGCTAGCACATCGGGTACTGAGGGCTAGCTTTGGGTGTGAAGATTCGCAGTAATGGATACGGAAGAGTTTTAAGGAGAAAGGGCACTTGGGGATACGGAAGAGTTTTACGGAGAAAGGGCACTTGACGGTCACGGGTCTATTTTTTCTGCCACGGTGGACTACACTCCCAGTTAGGCCTGCTCATTTCCCGAATTCGATTCATCGGTTTTTCCGCTCAATGCTACTTGTGCAATCACAAGCTCAATGACCGGTGTCCCTTGAATTTCACGTTGAGCCGACCACATGCTGGGCTGGTAATCGATCACAGTAGCTCTTACGCGCACGCCCCAATTCAATGCCTATACGGTTACAGTTCCTGACTTTGTGCCTGGTTGTGCGGCTTTCTAAATTGCCGACCCTTTGCATCGAACTTTACCATGCGGTGTCGTTTTTGCAACCTTCGTAGCCTCAGCTCTTCTACCCTCAAATTATGTTGCCTTCAGATTACAGTCTACATGAACATGAACACTGCCCATGGGCACTCCTACCAGTTCCTGGCACAGTATAAGAGCATGTGCACGCAAGGTCCTTCTAAGTGCAGTGCCGTTCTCAATAAGCTGCTTATTCAAAAATAATACAGCATTGATGCAGTATTTGGTACACCAAAGTTGCCGAACACAATAAACATGCATTGCTCTAGCGCGCCAGAGGCCGAATGCCGTCAGTACAGGGGGTCGTAGTAGGGCAACTTAACAAGGGGACTTGAAGGCTCCACCATAATCCATAGAGTCTTCATCAACAAAGAATGCATTGAGGAACACCGCAGCCACCTTTTAAAGCTGTTGTTCAGCACTTCTAATGAGCAGAGTGATATATAAGGGACATAGCCGCGTTTGCGAAGCTTGCCTAAACATTGACGCCAACAACAGTTCTCTGCTACATGCGTCTCTGGCTGAATCTGATACTGGCACAACTAGCGACGTTCTCACATAGATTATTCAAAAAACTCAAAAAATGGGTCCTTCTTCAAGAAGTAGCCAGTCCTTCGGGTCCTTGATACCCTACCCAGCACCCCGGAGTTACTGTACTACATAATACGGAGTTCCGCACCCGGTTGCACTACTATTATAGTTATAGTGACGTGCTATTTTTCGCAATAGCCTTCTACAGCATCTTGCGTTTTGGGCCAGACTACTTTTCTTCAGAGCAACTTTCCTCGATGTAGTCTTTAAAAGGAGAAAATTACATGTGGAATTTGACGGGCAGCTCATGCAGACCATTAAATGGGCAGTGTGGGCTCCTCATCCCGGAAGCAACTTCCAACTTCGTACGGGCTAGTGCGAATCAACGCGCGCCATTGATGGCACAGATCTGCGTGATGGCACAGATGTGAGTGAGCACGTAAACGTATGCACCAAGGCATGGAAAGAAAGCGTGCTGCAGCTGTCAGCTTTATGACAGGCTCAGAGGCCTACGGTGAGGCTCGAATAACTGCAACGGAAGGCTTTCCGCAAATCTGAGATGAGCACGGAAAGCGCAACTGAACAGGTCTGCCCCGTGCAGTGCAAGCAACCAAGCAATGAAAAGTACCTTGGATCTGGCATATATAATTGTTCATTCAAACACAAAACTCATCCAGTCTGCTGGACTCCAGAAGAATGCGCTAGACGTGGAGTACGCCCGCAGCCCGCTGTGAAGCCTTGTATGCGTGCGCTCCAGCAAAATTGTTGGCTTTGTATTGAGTGGAGTGTCTGTCCTCAACTTATATCTAATAATAATAATAAAAGATTCATACATTTGGAGTATTTAGGTGGTTTCGGCTATTGTTCGGACTGCGATTGTGCGTGTGCATGCGGAGGAGTGGCTCGCCTCTCTGGCCATGCACACCAGCAAAGTACCTTGAACGATAGCGTTAGCTTCCCAGCATTAAAAGCAAAGTTTCACACTGAGTCATTTGCTGCACGAACTTGTTCAGTACTCAGCTGGGATCAGCGCCGTCCCCCTGTGGCGTAGAATGACACATGCTTGCATATGTGTCTGTTATCCCGTTGTCTTTTTGCCACTGCCTGTAGCTTAATTCATTATGAAGGAGGAGTGTTCTCAGGCACTGAGCTCAGTGGACCCATCAGCCACGCGCCAAGACCCCAGCTCCCACTCGCAGACAGAGACCGTCCGATCCAGCCCAAGAAGCACCCCTGATCCATCTGGGGAAATCGGCTACACGGGTGAGTCAAACGGAGAAAAAGGAAGCTCATCAGGGGAGGACAGTGACAAGTCCAATGCACTCAGTGCCAAGTACGTCGCCTACCTTGGCTGTATCAAAGACAACTGGTCCTCCTGTCATGCCGCAAAGCTGCTTGATGAAGAGCTCATTTCTTACCTACGTCCCCGTTTCGTGTTGCTTTCGACGCCACTCAAAGTCAGGGTGCTGACTTCCTTTCTTTACATTAAGGCCGACCTGGTACGCAGAACGGAGCATCTAGCTAGGGTCTACCTGGTAGCACTGCTTTACTGATTTGCGCAAACCCAGGCTTAGGCCGTACCAGCTCTCTGCATTCATTCTGTTATTATGCACAATGCAGAGGGAAAGATGCAGCGAAACACTGAGTGAAATCACCAAGGAGGGGGAGACGGACCCAAATGAATGGGTAAAGAAGCTTAGCCGCATCCTCGTAAGTCTTAAAGCCATGTCATTTTAGCTGTGCTTTCCAGTAATATGCGTAAGGGATCCACATTTGATGTAATTTTCGTTTTGATGACTCAGATTCCCTACATTACGAGCGGACGCATAGACTTACGCGAGACAGACACCGAGACCGCTTTCAGGATTATCAATTTCCTCGACGAACAAAAAGGTCAGATGATTACTTCGATTACTTAGAGCCGTCTTATCCCCAAGTCATTCGTACTGAGCACCGTGCAAGGTACTGTAGGTGCTCCGCTTGCTTGTTCAGAAGTATACGAAGCCCAACTATAGAAGTTCCTGTAGGCTCAGGAACATTGCGCAGCAAAAAAGCGCCACGTCTGTTTCTTTGACACAAGCTCGACAGTAGTGCTAGATCTGCGGCATGCTTTAACTCAGCACTAAATCCACAGCAGGGCCCCTATCGCCAAAAAGCGGGACTCGAAGAGCAGCACATGTGTGAACCACACACTGAAATAGAATCCGCTTCTGCAGTGGCGGCAGCCGCGAGCAGCGAAGACCCACTGGTGAACCTGCTTAAACTACCGCAGAAAGGGGTTCTAGAAATGACCCTTTTCAACGCACGAGACAGCTTCGACAATCTTTTAAAGGGAGTAAGTGCAAAAAAATATGACTCTCCTCGCATTTTGCTTTGTTACTGGTATGATTACTTGGCATTTTTAACTCTATTTCAGCTCTCCGTCCTTCAGGCTTCTGTGTGAGACTCTCCAATTCTTGCTCCCCGCTGTTTTATGGAACTTACCAGATTGTCCATCGGGGAACCCAGGAGCTACGAAGGGCTCTGCGAGCGCAGCAGCAGCGAGAACGGAAGCAAAGTGAAGCAAGAAAGGATTTTCCACCCTGAAAACGGTGGAAGTTTTATATCGTTCTCATGCAGAGCAAGCATTACGCGCAGTTGTCTACTACACCAAACTGCGAGATAGTGAAGCGAGAAGGATTATCCCAAGCTGGTGGTGAACGATATTGTAGCGCTTGTGTGTAAGGCATGTCAGGTAGAGTGTCCAGCACACCGAGCTGTCAAACACTTGCTGCGTTGCTGAAGGGTTTTGCCCCTGGCGTGGCGGCGGTCTCTCTCCTTTTTTTTGTAACGTTCGTCTTGCGTTGAACGTGCACTAAGTCCTTGTATGTTACTTCCGGTAGACTTTGGAGTAAGCAAAGTAGAACCAATCAAATAACTGAGGAAAGAGCTTATCCAGGCTGGTAAACGGCCGCCCACTGTGCCCACCTTCCTTTGAAACAGTCCGAGGTCCTAATTCTTCAAAGCCTCTAGGTTTAAAATAATCAGTTCCAGGGAGGCGTACGTACCAAAGGACACGACTACGGGAACCTGGAGCTCAGTACATCCTCCATTTAAGAGGATCTGCGTGCCACTGAACGCATCCTGCTAAAAGCCACTTGCCCTGGCTTTCTACAGAGTGCCCCCGTTCTGCACTACTGCGCAACCTCTTCACACTACACCACCTTGGAAAGACGGCCTTCTACGTAGCAGTGCTCTGCAACGTGTCACTGGTCCTCTCTGGCCACTCTTGCCGCCCCCAAAACGGGAGGATGTTTGCTGAATGCTCGCTATGCCGTGCTGCGCACCTGCAAGACGCTCAAGACTTTATACACCGAGCTAACTTTAAGCATAAATTCTGGAAGGAGGGCAGCGAGCTGCGAAGCTCCCCGCTCCCACTAAAATGGACCTGCGGACCTGGCACTGTCAAGGGGATCTTCTCCTCTTCATGCCAGAGCACAGCGTGATGCACCCTGGCGTTCATACAGAGTTTCCACACATGGCTGGTAAGCAAACGGTGACACAAGCTGAGCGGCAACTGCTAAATGCTACTCATCACCGCCCTATTTGCGCATCCAATACAGCCACCTCTGCGATGGGTGCTTAAAAACATACCTCTCTCCTGCCCACAGAAAAAAAAAGGCATCGCGTGTTATGCAAAGCATCTCAATCAACACGGCTGACTAATGATATAATATCACGGACTGGTATGAAAAGAGCCATGGCACGGATCATGCAAAATCAACAAGCGCCACGCTTTCTTAACGGAAGGACGCATCTTAACAAAACAAGCAGCCACAGCTGCGCGAGAGCCAAACAAGGCAAATCAGGCCGCGTCCCGTGGGAAACAATCCATTTGTTTTCAAGTCATGACGCGCAAGCACGTGTACCTGCATCAGCACACCGTCTGACGTCAGGGGTATCATCCCTGTTGAACGAAAATCAATAATATTTAATGTGAATCCTTGTCCGTAGCTTAAGGTCTCGAACGCTGCGTTCTTCAAAGGAACAGCAATAAAATGGGCGAGCAGAAGTGGCACCAGCTTCTGCAACAAATCGCTCGCAATTACCAAGCTGCTGACCATGTGATGCTGTTCCCGCCTTCTGCACCGTTCTCTGCAAATGCAGTTCGTGATGCATCCTTCTCCCTGTACGGTGAACCCTCTCGGACTATTTTGTCCAAATCGCATCGTCGCCGTGGTAAGCGGCAATGCATCTCCTCTGTACCACGTAAGCTATGTAGACCTGTAAGCCCTGGTGGAGGAGCCGTAGAGCTATGCAACTGAATGGGCGACGAGTACGACTTCCCATATGCACCAAAGACCTCCTGAGCATCCATCAGGGAGTTTGTCCCGAAGGCAGGCTCAGTGCTACGCCTGGAACCATGGACGGCCAGAAGAGCCGTCTGCGCACCCACTAGCGTCGAGCCATCGAATGCTATATCAGAACATCGGGTCAGGAGAGGTGCAGCCTGCCTGGGGAGCGCGCAGCCATTTCCCAATCCGGTCGCCGTAGACGAAGTGAAACTGTGCTCCGGTGATAAACTCCACATTGATGCTGAAGAGATGCTCGTACAACTGCGAGACGGCAAGCACCTGGGAGATTCCGAAGCTGGTGACAACAAAGCATCCGTTGAGCGGTCCGAACTACTTGAACCTTGGGTGTCCCAACGCTTCAGAGAGTTCACCTTGGCCAAAAGTGTGTCCAAAGAAGATGCCGACGCGTTGGCGCCCGAGTCAGGTAGCATTCCTCCATTTATTACCTGCCGCAGGCAGTCAAACGTGACTTCACCTTTGTCCTTCAATTTGTCACGGTTCTCTTCCACGGCTTCTGCACCGCAGCCTGCTGGCATCCTTTCCCTTCTATGGCCTGAGCCCCGTCCACTAAGCCGAGACTGCTGCTGCTGCCGTTTCTTCCTCTCTAGGTGAGGAGGAAGGCTGCAGCAACAAGGCACAGGTAAACAAACAGAGCACTCTCAAAAGGCGCACTTCTGCTGTCAAAAGCAACTTGCATTTTGCTCGGGACAGTAAGATGCGACGAAATTGAAGCAAGCGTACTTCTCCGGTCGAAGATCCGCGTCTCCATGTGCGTGCCTGCACAGTTCTCCACTGTAGCAACAGCCCTGTCGCCAATACTTGCATATGGTTGTTTTGAAAACACCAACAGTCGACTGAAGCTCGTGCTCTCCGTGAGCAAAATTGCAATCCTCATTCTCGCATTTTCCCTTTAACCAGTATTTACACAAAGATGTCTTCCGCAGCTCCAGCTTCTTCTGTAGTTCCGTCATGTTGTGCGCATAGTTGCAGCTTTCCCTATTTGGGCAGATGCCCAATCTCAAGAAACTCAAGCACAGCAAGTTCCTGCAGAAAAAGCAGTTCACCCACGCAAACTCATCAAGGGCACGTCTGCAAGAAAAGACCAGCAGACGACTGCCATATCGCAAGACCATACTCATGCAGCTGGCAGTCTGATGTGAGCACAGTGAAGTGCCAGCAAGCTACGTAGTATTACCGCTTTGGGAAAACGGGCTTCCGCTGAAGCCCGCCTTGTGCCTGAAGATGCAGCATTGTGACTAGGGCAGTCTGGAGGGCTAAATGACTGTCGAGGATCCCGTTGGAAGAGCGGCTGGACGCCCCCTTCTCTCCTCGGCGTTCACGACCCGAGTGCTTGGTTGGAGATGGTGTGCCATCGCGAGCTCTTCTCCCTCCGGATTGCGCCGAGTCGGACTTCGTCAAAATATCGACATACTGCTGACCGTCCGGTTCCCGGGCCCCTGGTTGAACTAATCCCTGTTCTGCAGCGTGAAGCAGCTCCTCCAAAAGCAATTCCTTTGGCTGCTGTACCACACTAGGGTTAGGCGAGAGCAGCTGCTCGACGTCTGGCAACCGACGGCCTCGAGGGCCTTCTACGGGGTTGCTCTTGTCACCACCATGGCCGCCAAGAGCACCTTCGCCTACATGCTCAAGCGTTGCAGCAACACCGCCAAGGACGAGGCGCTGGTCATTGCCCCCGTCACCTGATTTGCGAGAGGCTATGGAAGCAAGTGTGTTCTTCCCATCTGCCGCGAACCCGCCCTTCCACGGCATCGTCTGCTGTCCCTGGGCTGATGAAAAGCTCCCATCCGATGGGATAAGGAAGACGTGTCTAAAGCCGTCCATGTCGGCTACTTTCCTCTATATCAATCCGAGCTCCGCCGGCTCCTCCAATACTCAGTCAGACAGCTGGACTACTCAAGTTCAGGAAGACACGCTCAACCGTGCCAGAACAAGCACAACAAGCAGTACAGAACAACTAGCTGCCGAGAGACAGGCCTTATTTAAACACTTGTGGAGCTCAAAATAAAGCGGCGGCAAAGATACACTTATTAAGGGGTTGAGAAGACGCTCCTCGTAAGCAGTAAAGCGCCAGCACTTCCATAAAGCGTCCGAAAACAAAATGCTGTGCGACCTCCCTCACACCCGTGTACCGCGAACTTTTCACGCTGACTGGACAGTATGCTTCCTTCCGGTCAGTGTGCAGAGCAACTCGTTGGTAAAAAAACGACTTAAAATGCAAGCTGCAAATCTCGAGGACAGAACTCGCAAAGCAAGGGAGCCTCCAACCGCAAATGACTGCGAAAATCCAAGAACAGCTACAATTCTACTCGGAGGGACGAAATGCGTCAAATCCCCATTCCTATCCTGTGCTCTCCTAAGCAGAGAAATTCTCGTAGGGTACTTATATTCCAATATATTAACACGAAAACAATCCACTGCTGAACCGTCGCCTGTCATGTGCCCAGCTCCGATATCTTCAAGATCAGAGCTCATTACAGCTGATACAGTATTCCAAAAATCGTACTTAAATTCTATATCCCTTTTCTGGGATAAACTCCAACCCTGCACAGGGTGAATCTCGGAGCGTCCTTCAACCTTCAAGAGGGGGGTGGTTCACTTAGGTGTGCTGGTAGCAGCGTGCAGCTGAAGCTTCTACCTCAGCGAGTACTCAGTTCATTAAAAAACAGGAAGATCCTGATGCTCGAAAATGCTCAAGAGTCCCTACGTTCTGCTTCAAGACGGTAGGGGGTCAGGCAAGGGATGCGACGCGGTCAACATCCCGTACCTTCGAAAACTGCTGTCCTAAAAAAAAGACACTTAGCACCTTTGGAACTGCAGTTGATTGCAGTGTTGTTAGAACCACAAAAAACGAAAAATGACTTGTAGGGCCAGCCCATGACGCAGTGGAGCAGAAACGCAACTCAGTTGAAGGCGAGACCCTATCCTGAGGTGGACGCTGTCGTCTCGCAATTCAACTTTGTGAGACCAGACGCATATATTGCCTGATCTCTTGACAAAAACATCAATATAATAACTGAATAACGAGAAAACAAAAATCTGGCGGACCGGCTGCACCGATGGTCTTGCTATAACAGACCAGTGGAGAGCACTGCTGCTTCGACGCTGTTGAGGCCGGGGGGAGAGGCGCTGGCGCAGACTGTACCAATGACAAGCTGGGCTTGGAACCAACAAGACATGATGAATTGTGTTTAAAATGAACAGCATTCATATTCCTAAGTGTACACAATCGTGCACTAGCAATATATGCTATTCATTGTGTAACGAGTGCCACCTGTGGGGGTGAGGAAGACGACACTGCACACCCACCGCAAAACTGAGGTTGCCTTTTCCCGGAACGTCCTTTAGTGAGGAGATATAGAAAGACTAACACTTAAGATGGTGTGGCACTGGGAGTGTGCATAACCTTGCTTATTACCGAGGGACACGCGGCCACTCAGTGACCCGTGCGGACGCGGGAACAGCGGAAATATCCTCAGACAGTGCCCCTACAGCTCAACGCATTTGCGCTGCCACATCCCACTACAATATGTGCAACTAGTGCAACTGTTTTAGTGCCATTTGCAGGCCGATCGTCTACTGCACCACAGAGAGCCTTGAGCATCTCCACTGAGAGCAGAGACGTCCTAGCACTGTGTGTCGGCCTTCACAAATTAGACGCGAACTGCCACCTGCACAATCCCCCAGCAGCTACAGAAAACCTAGGAGAAGCAGGCAATGAGACAACTGACACGGGACGTGATTGAAGGAACTACGGACCTCGTGGCGTCCCAGGCTACCTACCGGCAGACTAGATTTCCTTGAGCCCACACAGCTTTCAACAAGAACAAAAAATTCCCATGATGCCTGGTGAATGAGCGCTCTACCAGAGATATGGGTAAACACAAGAAGAGCGCTGCGGCACCACTGGCACCCCGGGCCACATGAAGCAATTCCTCATGGCCGCTGTTACAAGACACGCGATGCGCCTAAATTGCGGGACGAAGCGAGTACAAACCAAAGGCACCGTACGTACAGCCGTTGGGACAGGAAAAAATGCGCCCGCTACTACAGCAGCGCGTGGAATGGGCGCTGCTCGGTCTTCGTTCAGGGAAGTCGACCCGAGGCTGACGTAGCAGACTCAGCAGCTCAGCACCTGTACCTTAGGGCTTCTTCATTGAATGATACTAGCACTAATTGAGGTCTGGCTACTATATGCCAGCCTCTCAAGACGCCAGGCTAAGCTGTGTTGACGATTTTATCGCATGCTTCAACAAGTCGCAGTGCAGTAGACGGTACAACTCGGCTGCTGGCAGCGAGCCTCAGCAAGCTGTAGCCGATGCAACGTTGCCGTTTCGACTTGTCTCCGGCGGCGATAAGTCAATGTCTCCCGATAACTGGAAGGGCCCCTCTAAACGCGGGGAATTTCCGGAAGACCCCATGTAAAGACGAAGCGCCTGCACCTCGTCTTTTCCTCTGCCACAGCTCAACACAGAAAACATTTCCTTTTTCAGAGTTTATTATTAAGCGCTAGGTTCTTCTTTTGTTCCAGCATAAGCAGCAGCATGAGAAATAATGTAAGCAACTTTAAGTTGACTGCCGCCGAAATGTCCAGTTGACACAGTGCAGTCACAGCTAACTGGTTCGTGCTTACGCTGGCTTGAAAACTTGTGTATGGGTTTGCCATCGCTCTGATTGCATGTCAGTCGAGTAGGCAGCTGAAGAACAGCATGTGTGTGCATTCTGAGAGTCATTCGCTGACCAGCAGCCGTCGCGCCACTTGCATAGCCAATCTTGGAACCTGCTGCCCTGCAACGCCGGAATCGGTGGACGGGAAACGCCACCAAAACCAGAAGGTACTATACCCGTTGCCGCAGCACGGATGTCCAGCATGCCTGCGAGAAACGACGTTGAGAAGTACGTGTTTGAATTACCACAAGAACAAAGTTCATTCAACAAACTCGAATTCCTACAACCACTGACTACAGAATGGACATTTCCTATAGAAAGTCTCTTTGCCCACCAGATATGTTGATGGTTTTGTCGTTGCTGTCCCGGCTCTCGTGGACGTTCACCAGCGGAATAACAAATGGAGGATAAGAAACATTAAAAACCTGAGTTGTACCACTAACCGCCCCCTTCAAGTCTGAGAGTTGCTGAGCCTCAACTTTCTTGAAGGCATTGAACTCGTTAGCGAGGTCATGTAGTTGTCGCTGCAGCACTTCGAGTACACCGGCAAGCCCAGCATCTCGACGCTCCGTCAGAATGAGGGCCTTGAGCTCCTCTAGCTCTCCCTAATCGGAACACATAGTGGAATGAATATAGACATAACATAGAAAACTGACGACTGTAATTCGGAGGAATGCGACTCATTACGGTTGCTTTAAAAGCTCTTCAGAGAGAGGCTTGAGCGTTTTGCAGATCTAGCAACTTGCCCTTGCAATTATCGCAACTAAGCGCTTCCTACTACTCCATAATTCGAGTGAGAACAATGGAACGAACCTTTAGATATTCATTTTCCCGACGCATGCGTTCATTTGCTGCAATGAGAGCTTTTTCTTTTTGATTGCTCGCCTGCTCCTCCAATTTTCTTTGTTGCTCTTGCAGTGAAGCAAGCAGTTGCTGGAAATGCCTTTGATTTTCTTCTGCCTTATCTATTGCATGTGCACTTTCCATGTCCTTTGCCCTGAGTTGCTCATGCAGCTTCTCCACCTGCTCTGCAAGAACATCCCGCTGCGCCTTCAGCCCTGCTGCCTCATACAGATTCCAATCCTGCATAACAGGCTGCGGTGCTGTCGCGTGCCTCTCTTTAAGCTCAGACACTTCAACGTGAAGTCGAAGGCAGCCCTGCTCAAGTTCTTTCAAACGATCTTTGAACTGAGCCTCCCTGCCCTCAAGTTCAGCTGCCTGCAGCTTCACAAGCTGTCGCTGGGCATCTTCTAGAGATCTTTGGTATTGTTCCGTGCTTCGCTCTAGCGTAGCCTCAAGTTCTCTGTACTTTTCCTGAGCCTTGCTCAAACTGTCAAGAAGAGCCTCGTGCTTTTGGTGCCACTGAAGCGCTACTTGCTCATGGCTTTTATTCGCTTGCTCCAGTTGAGCAGAAAGGGATGAATTCTGCTCTCTCAGACCTTTTATTGTCTCTGCGAGTTCCTCATACTCCTTCCTCAGGCACAAAGCTCCTTGATCAGCTTGTTCTAAAGCAGTGCATTTCTCTTTCTCTAACTGTTCAATTTGTTCCTGCATGACTGCAAGGGCAGCCTTTTGAGCTAATTCCAGTTGTCGCTTCTCTTCTTCCTTCTGGGACAAAAGCTGCTGGGTTTCCTCCTTCTCGGCCTGGAGCCCGAGCTCAAGGTCAGCAATATTCTTTTTCAAGCGCTCAGCCTCTTCTGTGAATGCAGCTTCACGAGTGGCAAAATCTTGAATTTTGTCGAGGAGCTCTTGCATGCGCACCTGCATGTGCTGCACCTCCCTTTCCTGCACCCTCAGTGCCTCCTGTTTTTCTTCATTTAGCCGGCTCATTGCTTCCTTCTGAGTCGTGAATTCTGCTGTTTTCATCTCAAGTTCGAATTTTTGCCGTGTGGCCTCTTGAAGTTGCTCTTTCAGTTCTTGCAATTTGTTGTATGCAGAGCGAAGCTCTGCCTGCATCTCCTCTTTCGCCTCTTGCGCTGCATTGGCTTGCGCCACCAGCTCTTGCTTCAAAGTCTCCGCTTCGCTTTCTTGTTTAGCCAGCCTACCCTTCAGAAACTCCACTTGTTGCTGGAGCTGTTCTTGCATTTCCCTAGCATTGGCTTCAAACTCACGTTGCTCTGCTTCCATGGAACGCTGCTGGAGGGCGCTCTGTGCCAAAGCGTCAGCGCGGCGACGTTCTTTCTCGAGCTTCACAATGCATGGCGCAACAGATGCCACTCCTATTAAATACAGTGCGCTTTAAACGGTTCGTGGATTTGGCATACTGGTTGGCAACCATGAAACTCCTTATGCATGGAATAAATCGGACTTACCAACTCTAGTAACTCCTCTCTCCGCTTCTCCGCCTCGGCGCGTTCCTCCTCGCTAACACTCCCACGTTTCACGAGTTCCATTAGTTTACTGAGTGATGGCAACAAGCTTATGCAGAGCTCAAGAAATGGGTACGGCTGCTGGGATGTTCAATGCTACTCAAGCATGAATCGCCAAAATAAATAATGAGGAATGATCACACTGAAGCTGAATGTTGGTTACTGCAAAGAAGAAATCCAGCCACATCCAGCGTCTCACTGAGTAGTCACGCCAAGCGCATTCGCGACGTTCGTCGTTTCTACTAGCTGTCCCTCAAGGCTCTTCACACGCGAGGAAAGCTCTTCAATCTGCTTCATATTCTCTTCCACACTGCGCTGAAGAGTAGCCCTCTGCTCCTCTAGTTCTGCTTGATGCTTCTGCGGCAAACACTCAGCAGGCCATCTAACTCCGCAGTCTTGTCCGTGCTTGTCCTTCATTGGGCTTTTAGAAACACTGCTTGGTGCTCGTACTCGGCTCCTAGCCAGATCCTCCTAGCTCAACACGCTCCTACCTCAGCTTGATCGAGAAGGGACGCCTTCACTTGCAACTCTTTGAGCTGCTCCGCTACTTTCTCCTCAAGACTCTTCACAACATCTGCTGGTGCCCTCGATGCCAAAGCATTGGCATGGCTTTCCTGTGCATAGCGCGTTTACAAAGCCACAATTTTCAGCCATAATAACTACAGGCAATTGCATTCTTGTAGGAGAAACAGCGTGAGACAAAACAGGGGCAGTCCAGGCTTTGCGGCTAAAATGTCTACAAAACCTAGCGCGTACCTGAGCGTCACGAAGCATTTGCCTTGCTTCTTGCACTTGAGCCTGCAAATGCTCATTATCTGCAGCCGTCAAGCACAGGGCAGCAGTCGAAGTGTTGAGATCGTCTTTGGTAGCTTCAAGGGCCTGCGCAGTGCGCTGTAGCTCAGCGGATTTCCTCTCCAGTTGTTCTCTGGCGGCAGCAAGCTCGCGAGAACGTTCCTAAAGCGACAATGCAGCAGTACACAAAAGCATATGAAGCCACTGTTTGTACTGTGTCCGGTTCTACGCGACAAGCCTCTCAGCCCTCGCTGAAAACAATGAAGTGCGCAAGTCTAAATAAAGCAGGTGAGGCATCGGAGGATAATTTCGCCAAGTGATGCAACTGCATCCCTTTCTTCCATTTCCTTCTTAATTGCAGTGAGCTCTGCCTTAAGTTCTCCATTGGTTTGCGAAAGTCATACCTCCAGTTTCTGTTGTGAAACTGCATCTCTTTCTTCCATTTCCTTCTTAATCGCAGTGAGTTCTGCTTTAAGTTCTTCATTGGATTGCCTTACTGTATCCAGCTCCGCGAGGGTTGATCTCAGCTTGTCCTGTACCTCGCTCAGCCTGAAACATGCCAACAATACACAACGTTCACCGCAGCCCCTACGTATTGTAGGTTGCTGCTCCAATAGGAACTGCTTGTTTCAAGAAACTCGAATGCGCTCAAGCACTAAGTCTAGGCGCCCAGCTATTAAAATTGCTAGCTTTCTTCTGATCGGGAGCCCTGGCCGCATCGCATCTTGTCAACTTGAAAACGTTCGCCCAAAATGGGTTCGACTACTCACCTACGGGGCATGCTGCCCAACTTGGTCAGGTGCAGCTCGGTGGCCAATGACACGGCAGGCTCCGCAGGGACGGGTTGGGGAGTGACAAGGAGTTGCTTTACAGACGCCCTGCGAGGGTTTGGCGCCGCACCAAACAAATGGCTGATAGAGCCCCGAGGTGTGACTTGCCTGCTCGTGACATCTCCTCCTCTGGGCGACTCCAAGGTGGGAGCTTGTTGTTGTGTGCTCAGCGTCACATTCAAAGACTCCAGTAGCCTGCCCTTGCGATCCAGCTCTCGCTTAAGAGACTTTATTTCTTCGTCCTTCGCTTGAGTAGTGCCTTTAAGCGTAACAAGATCATGCGCCAGTTCCGTCACTTTCTGAGAGTCCTGGGTGCTAGCTTGCACGGTCAGTTTCTTAATAAGCTCTTGGAGAGCCGCACACTCCCTGCTCAAGTTATGTTTTTCTTCCTCGAGTTTAACCAAATCCTTCTGGTTCTCCTGAGCCAACAGAGATCCCCCAAAATACGCAGTTTTTTGGAAGTTCACTTCCAGGCAGTAAAACGTTCAGGCAGCAAACCAATTCTGTTGCGGCGGCCGCAACTTCAAGGATTACCTGGTATGCCTTGATGCGTGCTTCCAATGTACTTAACTGGCGTGTCAGTTCCCGTCCCTCGGCCTCTAAATCTGAAATGCGCTCGGTCATCTCCTTGAGTTCTTGAACCTGCAGCGACAGAAACTCGAAAACTTGGTGACTAATCCCAATACTTTCACATGCTAACTCTACTGAATGCCGTGCCTCCCGAGAGCCTGAAGTTGCAGATTAATTAGCCGACCTGCTCATCATTGGTTTCCACTGCATCTTGAAGCTTTTTTCTCAGCGATATAACGTCCTGCTTCAAGTGTACATTCTGCATTAAAAAGAAATCACCGTTCATGGTAGCAGTGCAAAAGATGGGAAGAAATGCTTCGTGCTGGGGTCGCGCCACACAGAAACAATGCGCAACGTGCACTCCCCCGCGAGGCATCATGCTTACCTGTTCCTTCAACTTTCCTACTAAATCATCAAAATCATTTTGAAGATAGTCCAAAATTTTATCAAATAGCTGACCCAAGACCTGGGGATGCAGATTGGTATAATCATCTGTTGTCATGTTCTCAAGACTGCAAGTGGAGAGCCTCCTTTGGGATGCTGAATCTGACGTCACAACCGCACCCAATCTCTTTAAGTATGCGCGTTCAACTGCTACATTTTTCGCTCTACTTTCGAAGAACGTGCTCGGGCAGTCACGCTCCACTGCATTCAAGAGCAACTTACCTTCCCAGTCAACGTCAGGGGGTTCGACGTCCCTATCCGACATGTAATCCAGGCAATCGCTTTGCTGAATAGGAAGAAGGCAAGAATAGCTGCCTCTAGTCATGACGCCAAAAAGCAACAGTGGCTATTTAGTTGATGCACGCTGTTCTAAGTTTCACTGAACAAGCATACGCCACCTCTCAAGTGCGCAGTTGATAGAGCAGCTCTCAGTAAGAACATATTGTCCTTTACTGGATGCGCATTATTTCCCACTGAGAGCCTTCAATGGCAACAAACAACCTTTGAACTCGAGAACGACAAAAGGCGCAAACCATCAGTGGAGAAATGGCTTAAAGAAAGAGAAAGTACTCGGTTGGCACATTGACTGTGGAGAATTGCTCACTGCATCGCAGTCGGATTCATCTGATTCCTGCTTGTCTGTGCTTCGGTTGCTTCCGAACATATGTAGCATGCCGCGGCTGGCAACGCAACTCTGCAGTTCCTCGTCAAGGCCTGAAGAATCCGCAATCATACGTTATACAACGTCCAAAACAAGGACGTAGGATACTAAGAGCGCCTTTAACCCAGGCTATGTGCAGGGAGAAACTGTACACTGACTTACAAGAAATGGAAACAGACTTGCTCGCGGGCTCTGACAAGCTTGGAAAAGACCTGCGTACGCGTGTTCGCCTCCGGAGCAGCAGCGTCTGAGTACGTTTGATTGTCTTGCGCCGCTCCAGGGCATGCGCCACGGCGTCCATTTGCTGGTGAGCTGCACGGATAAAATTACACAAAACGTAAGACCTGAAAAAAATTCAGTGAAGACCTGAAGATCCGATGTTGCAACTCCTGGCAAAAGCCATGAAACCAACAGGAAACTATTCACAACGCGGTCAGAATCGCGCGTCTCCACTCCGGTTAGCTCCTCAACGACCTGAGGTAGCTTCGGAGTAACCGACTGCGCGTTTTCAAGCTTAAATATTTGCCAATTTCAGTCGCACACTCAAAGTGTCACGCTCACTATAACTCGTATGGCAAACGACACACACGGGACCCACCTTCATTGCCGCTGCCGAAGCCAAATAAGCCTTCCGTGCGCGTCGACCTCTTGGAAAGGGTTCGGCCTGCCTGTAACACGCTCCGCGCCCGTCCAGGTGCTTCTTGCTGCAGTGCCTGTGCAAGATTCTTCTTGTAGCGGTCAAGCAAGTCCAAGATTGCCGTGAGCTTTGCAAAGTTTTCGGCATCCATTCTCGCCGAATTTAGGGCTCCTCCCAGCCGCGAACTGCGGAGGAGGCTACAGTAAACGTGGCAAAAGTGAGTTGTACGGGTGCCCGTTATGAAGCATTATAGGAGATTAAACAGAGTGCAGATGGGGGATGGAATGCAAGGCACGAGTGCGTATAAATGGTCGCAACAAAGAAAGGCCATCTAGCTTATTGACTTCTCACACTCCATAGCATCCCCTGAGAAAGAGCACCAAACTACATGCATTAGCTGCTTCATAAGGGGAATGGCCCTGAGGATGGTGGAGGACAGGACAACCCTCGAAAACAGCAGGACAGCGAGCCCCTCTGTGGCGGTGGAATATCACTCAATAACCAGAGAAGATGAAGGGAAAAATTCTTGTTGAAGGGGAAGATGCAGCGAAAAAAAGTTGGCAAATTATAGGCTGTACTTCCTGCGAGGCAGCCAATATCGGCAGTTCAGGAAAAATGCTGCTTCCAAGACCAGGTAGGCTGAAAGAAGGCAAGAATGTGGAGCTGAAAACAAAAATTGAAGGAATCTTAATGGTAAAATCGCAGCAGGGGGGAGGAAGAACGCAGTTCTTCGACCACGTGCCACCGTCAGTCGATTCGGCGAGCAGGCAGGTGCGATTGGTGAGGCGTTCAGTTCGAAGGTACGGGTCTGTGCGAAGAGCCTCTCTAAGCAAGCATTCCTATCAAACTGCAGATGTGCCCAGCACCTTGCCCAAAAACATTGGGCTACGTTCTGTAACGATACCAAGGGCGCGTTGACGGAGCAAGCTGGCGTGGCCCAGCTGCTGCTATTCGGGAGACAGAATAACGGGGCTCTTTGCTCAATCCGTAGGAAAAGAGTTCTTCAGAAACCAGAAACAAGCATTCTTTATCACCACTCAGCGGTGCTCGATAGCCCCCAGCATGCTTGAGAAACCTCACCGAGGCAAGCCCGAGCGGCCGACTCCTTGGGGCCCGCCAGAAGGCCGCTGCTCCCACTCGTCGCACGAAAACAACTGGTCCACCAAATATTATGTATTTTCGCTTTCGTGGACTTCTTCTAGTTACAGTTGGCCTACGATTCTGGTCCAGTTTCCAAACGCTCCCGTGCACGTAGGAATGAGCAGCATCTGAAAGACTAGAGCCCAACCGGTGGTCCAGCTGGACCAGTACAGAGGTGAGTACCGGACAGCTCGCTCACTATCGTACTGATTCTATTTTAAGGGATTCTTCGTACCTTACCAGATAACATTATGACTGAGATCAAACTATATGCGTATTCTGCGGTGACCTTTCAGGCCTACGCAAAACTCTGCGTAGCCTGTTGGCCACATCGAGCAGCAACATTAACTCGGAAATGCATTTTCCTAAGAGCTTGGCTAGAAAAGCATTTTAATTCCACAGATGGCCGAGGTACCACGGGTAGAGGCTAGATATGGGCGGTTTCACATGGATAGTACAATCTGTCAAGCCACAGCACACCTCTGCACAACTGGGTGCTCGCTTGAGCACAAAGAATCTGAAGAACAACCGCGCCTCCGATTAGCTCATATTTTCGCAATACTTTGATCCGAACGTCCTCAGCATGCAAGATGAACCTAAATACAGCGGAGGCTAACGCCGAGGAAAATGGCCTCTCGCAAAATCCCTCACCACAATACAGGAAAAGGAAAACGATGAGTCACATATCCATATAATGTATAGAGGTGTACGTGCCATTCTCTGGATGGAAAGAGCTTCTAAACGACGCGGCGGTGAGCCATGCAGCTCGCTGGGCAAGCCAATACGCCGTTCGCAGGAGTGGGAGACGAGCCTTGCCAGGCAAAGCTGCACTGTTTGCTTCCTTTCTGTGTGAGCTGGGGCTAAACTGCGTGCTGCAGAAATAAGGATATAAAGGAGTGATACGTATATACCGTTGCAAGCAGCGGGTAGCAAGAAAATAAAGCTAACGGAAGAAAGCTCGGAAGTGGTAGGACTTCGGCAGATAGCCGAACCACCGTCCCTGGATAGTCAATAGGCAACAGAGCTTGACATGCGGATCGCAGTGCTATGGCAGTGATGTGTTTCGCCTTGCTTGAGTAAACGAGTGTCGGACGATTATTGCCAAGGCATCAGAACTTCGAAGTAGTAACAGTCCAACTTCGTACAACTCGAAAACCCAGACTCCCCAGTCCTGGCTGCGCTACCGTGAAGTTACGGGATTGTACTGGAGAACGCCAATGCTGGTCTGGCAAATAGTGTCAGTTCATTGCATGCCGCCCTCCTGTGGCCTGCCAACATTGGTTGGTCTCTCTGGCAATATTTCAAAATGGCACGTGCGACTATTTATTGAGATTCCTGAGAGCAAATGTCTTCACCGCTTTGCTGCACCTTCAAATTTCGATTCACTCAGCGTGTCTCAGCGTGTCTCCCTGTATAGATCGTAACTTTGGTGCGTTTTGCCTCTAGCACGTCACCTCTTCTTCCTCGTATCTGCGTCATCTACTTAGACGTCCAAAATACCCGTAAGAAGGGGAGTGACGCTTGAAACATGTCGGTCCACCTAACCTCCTCGGCCTGACTGGCAACTTCCGCGGCCCCCTTAGACCTTTATAACCGCTCTGCATGCTGTCTGAAGTGTGACTTTGTTGCCAATGCAGGGCCTTGAGAACTGTGAGGGTTTTCTAAAGAGCTGTGTTCGGCTACTTCTGAGTGTACGCCCGGCAGCGATATGTTGAGTCCAATCCCTGGATGCAGTTGCAATTCACGAATTTCGAGCAAATTGTAGAAAACGCTAATTCACGAAACACGCATATGATTGAAACGGAGTATTCTAACTCTGAAAGAGCATTATAGCGACAAAACAGAGCGGTTAAAATCAAGCTCGCCAAAGTAAAATCAAACGTCAATGTGAGTAATGGGTTGGTTGCGAGCTGTCACAATAAGATGGCCAAAAAAGCCACTGTGGGGTGTTAGGTAAAAGAGCATGCACGCGATTGGCCGTGAGGAGGAGCATCCCATTGCACTTCATTGAAGAGCGCCACGGCTACACAGGAAAGTGGCATCTTGAGGAACCAGAACGGCTTTCACGCCAACAAACGAGCCCTCTCCGCTCTTCATCTTGACTAGTACCAGAGCACAGCAGGGTGCGGCTGCTGCTGCTGTTTCTCCTGCAGCTCTGCTGACAGTTGTTGACGGAAAACAACACGAAGTGGAACCGAAGACAAAGCATACACTTCTGCCGAACGCTCATGTGCCTAAAGCATCTATATTGCCGGCTGATGGCAGCCTTCTCTTTATGTAGCTTCGTGGACCTACAATAACCTAAGCTAACTAGTAGAAAACTAAGCTATTCAAGCGGCGCAAGACCTTTCTTCGCATCTGCAGCGAGAGCCGCCTCCTGTGCCTCCCGAAGCTTGGAGTCCACCACCTTCCTCACTGACAAATGGCTGAAAATCAGGACACAAAACATTCCAGAACTCCCATCAGAGAAAGGACTGCATTTGTGTGCTCTGTCTTTACACATCCGTGGCTTGCTAGCACCAAGCTAGGCTGACTGCTTCGAAAGGGGTCAGATTCGCATTTACTAAACTTAGTGAAAAATTACTCGATTGATGGATCCACCGTGATGATGTTCGAGCGAAGCTGGATACTGAGAGCCCCAAAAAGACATCACAAGAGGAATTTTTATCGGACGGATCCCGACATTTGAGCAAAGGGACGAGCAAAGCAGACGGCCATTGCCATCATCATCACTGGGACAAGCAACAGCAGCTGCCTACCGCTGCTGCTTCTGCTGCTGTTGACGGCAGGAGCACAAGACACAACGGATGAAAGGAACGGAGGCTTACGTTGCGGGAAAGATGCCTTCTAAAAATACCACAGCTCTCTCCACGGCTGAGAGAGGCAAAGGCGTCCGAACTCTAGAGACAAAGAGATCCGTCAGCACCCTCACGTCAATGCGCTGCACCAGCAAACACGGGCAACCTGTTGCTTCCTTGTGCTTGTAGACTCCCCTAGCTACTTGACTGCACGCAGCTAGTTGAATAGGCTTAGCTAGTTGCTCTTATATCGTTAATGGGGCGCGTTGACATGACTGGCATACAGAGCGTCGGTCTTGGTATACACATGCATCGAGAAGACACTGTAGAACGATTTGAACCTCCTTAAGTCGTTGTACATTCCTGAAGAAATCGGGGGCAAGAACTTAAGTGGCATGCCAGTACACGTCCTACTGCATCCACCGTTGGAGGTTCCGTCAGATTGCACAAAAACGGAGTCCTAGCTCCCAGGGTGTGCATATGGGCAGTAGCAGCAGCTATGCTCGCACGACTTACTCATAGAGTTCCTTTCGTATCTGTTGCGCTGCTTCTTGCTGCAGGCGCGCAGCCATCCGCTCTTCAGTCTGCATCAGCAACCAATAAGAGACAACCCCTCACACCTCATCACCGGGCCTCCTGGTCTGAAGCAGCGCTTTCACCGCTTGTTGCTGTTGCACTTACTTTGCGGCGCAGTCGTTCCGAAACAGGACTCCTACAGAATGACAAACAGAAAAGGCGATGAAAAAAAGAGTGAAACCTGCGGCATTGACTACCTGCGACAATCTTCCCAAAATCGTCCGTGAGGCTGTGGCGACAACAGCTACAAATTTGAACTCTTCCTCAGTGCTTGCAAGAACAGCCACACAGAAGCAAAATGCCTCTCTTCGGGTGCCCTGAATGAGCAAGCGGGAGCTACGTTGCCAGTTGAATGATTCGTCTGCTGGTTACCTGGTGGGGCTGGTGCTGTTTGACACAGAGCGCCTGACCAAAGAAGGACTTGGGCTGCGGTTTCCTACAGACGGCATAAAAAGAGAAGGACGCCTCGTGGGTTGCCGACCCCGAGCGAGAGGCGACGACAGCAGCGATGGAGATGAGCATTCCCTGGTAAGATCTGGTGGAGACAAGGACTGTCGTGTTGAGCAAGTACTAACTGACGAGACGCCGCCAACAGAAGTGGTCGCAACAGGGGTGGCGCTTTTGCCGCTCTCCGTTT